TTTAAAGAAAAGAGGAAAATTTATTTTGCCAAGCCAGTGGCTATCAACTGTCGGTAAAAGTGAGTAAAATTTCATAAACCAAAAATTGATTTACAGATTACAGCTTTATTTAATTTTGCACTAATTAGATCCGTGAAGATGATAGTGCATGTCCCGCATTAAGTAAAACAGTTTGGCCTTCCTGATTCAACAGAGCAGCTTAGCCTTTTTAGGCTGTGGCTCTGTGAGAATTTTATTCTCCGGGTGTTTCAGAAAGAACTAAAAACGCGCTTTCAGATATTGTTTGAATCTCCGTCTAGCATTAAGTAAAACGGTTTGGCCTTCCTGATTCAACAGAGCAGCTTAGCCTTTTTAGGCTGTGGCTCTGTGAGAATTTTATTCTCCGGGTGTCTCAGAGGGAACTAAAAACGCGCTTTTCAGATATTTTTTGAATCCCCGTCTAGCATTAAGTAAAACAGTTTGGCCTTCCTGATGCAACAGAGCAGCTTAGCCTTTTTAGGCTGTGGCTCTGTGAGAATTTTATTCTCCGGGTGTCTCAGAGGGAACTAAAAACTCGCTTTTAGATATTGTTTGAATCTCTGTCCAGCATTTAAGAAAAAAAGTTTGGCCTTCCTGATGCAACAGAGCAGCTTAGCCTTTTTAGGCTGTGGCTCTGTGAGAATTTTATTCTCCGGGTGTCTCAGAGGGAACTAAAAACTCGCTTTTAGATATTGTTTGAATCTCTGTCCAGCATTTAAGAAAAAAAGTTTGGCCTTCCTGATGCAACAGAGCAGCTTAGCCTTTTTAGGCTGTGGCTCTGTGAGAATTTTATTCTCCGGGTGTCTCAGAGGGAACTAAAAACTCGATTTTAGATATTGTTTGAATCTCTGTCCAGCATTTAAGAAAAAAAGTTTGGCCTTCCTGATGCAACAGAGCAGCTTAGCCTTTTTAGGCTGTGGCTCTGTGAGAATTTTATTCTCCGGGTGTCTCAGAGGGAACTAAAAACGCGCTTTTCAGATATTTTTTGAATCCCCGTCTAGCATTAAGTAAAACAGTTTGGCCTTCCTGATTCAACAGAGCAGCTTAGCCTTTTAAATTTATTCTCCGGGTGTCTCAGTGGGAACTAACAACGCGCTTTTAGATGTTGTTTTAATCTCTGTCCAGCATTAAGAAAAAAAGTTTGGCCTTCCTGATTCAACAGAGCAGCTTAGCCTGTTTAGGCTGTGGCCCTATGAGAATTTTTTTCGCCAGGTATCTCAGAGGGAAGCATTATTTTTTAGACATTATTTAAATATTGCAAAAGTAATGTTTTGCTTACGTTTGTATTTAACCCCATCCAGATCCAGTGAGGCCTTTGAAACAGCGCGTCAATTTTAAAAGTTTTTTCATAAGGCAGTTTCTGTTTAGCGCTTAGTGTTAGTTTTGGCCTTGAATGAAGATTCCATTAAAAAGCCTTGCGTTCAGACATAAAATTAGGGAGATCTTGTAAGCATGAATTGAAATATATGAAATGCGGATGAAGGTATGAAAGTGAAAATGATCATCGCATTAAATTCGCAACCTATTCGGTTGAAAAATAACCTAAAAAATTTTGCAGCGTTATCGCAGAAAGTTAGAGGTGATATTACGTTGTTGGGGAAAATACTCCGCGGCTTTAAATTAATAATTTCCACGATGTTTTAATTCCGGTAGTGTAGTAACCTTTTCGTTAAGGCAGCTTCTAAAACGCACTCGAGGAAACCGCACAGTCTCTGTGAACTCTCACTTTCACTTGCGAGAGAGGCAAAAAGAAAATAGAGTGACATTACTTTCAAACCATTACGGGTTACCTTAGGCCGAGGTTTCAGAAATCATTGGATCTCCAGCCCTCTTTCTTGGTGGGTTAGTTTAAGAAAATAAGTGCTTTAGTTTTCCAGTCTGCCTTATGTGCTTTATTGAAATTATTCACGATAAATGGGGTTTGATAAAAGCGTTGGTTAAACTGAAAATGGCTTAATTATAACGCGATTTTGTAATATACCAGCTAAATAACTGGCCCTCAGTGTTTAATAAATACAAGTAAACAAAATATACAATAGAAAATTCCCCAGCAAGAAGTGCGTAAAATCACTTTTCTCGAAGTACAATAAATTTTAAGAGAAGCCACTACAGAGGCAAATGCATTCCGGTTCGGCAGAAAGACTTCCAATGCGGCTAATTTGTAATTGACTTCTTTGTTGAACCGAAATCTTGTTGACGTACAGGAATTCAGTTGATATGAGAATTTGTCACCTCCAAGCAAATGAGCCGTAAAAAGTTGATTACTTCTACAAAGCTCCCCTGCTGATGTTCGCCTATTGAATAGGCGAACATCAGCAGGGGTCTACGATTTCAAACCTCTATGAATCTCGTCATGACAAGGCTTGTGTAAGGTACTTACAGAACGCGAAGAAGGCTTACACAAGGCTTGTGTAAGATACTTACAGAACGCGAAGAAGGCTTACACAAGCCTTGTGTAAGATACTTACAGAACGCGAAGAAGGCTTACACAAGCCTTGTGTAAGACACTTACCGAACGCGTAAGAAAGCTTACACAAGGCTCGTGTAAGATACTTATTTACAGAGGGCTTGTGTAAGAGTCTTACAAAACGCCGAAGAAGGCTTACAGAAGTCTTGTGTACAAGTCTTTACACAAGGCTTGCTACAGAAGGCTTATTTGAGATTTTTACCGAAGACTTGTATAAGACTCATTACTGGCGGTTTGTGTAAGAAAGGCTTGTGAATCGCTTAGGGTATTCTTTAAAGACTTGTGTAAGACTCGTTATACCATGTACAAATGCCTTTGGTATCAATCTTTAAAACCGTTTTTCTACCCCATTAAAGTCATCGATATTGGGGTTTTTTGCGATTGTAATGATAAATGCCACTTGCAGAGCAGGGAGCCGTTGGCGATCATTTGTCAACGATGATTGTTCGCGCCGTCTGAAAGAGTCTTCCTTTTCTTCCTTGACTTTTTTGAGAACCTCCCAAGATAATGATGATTTTGTCGTTTTTAATCCTCCCATGCTACCCACATCATTAATGATACGTTTATCTGAGTTCATCTATGAGACTTTATTTTTAAAACTTCTACAAACAACAAATGGCAGTAAAAAAATTGTCAATAATCGGTGAAGGATTTTGCCCAAGCTACATGCACGGCTTTGCCTTTTTTATTGAGTTTAATTTTTGTCTATAACTATAAAGCGTCGGTATTTAAAAAATCACGTAAACGGTAATAAATTTTTCCGTTCCCACACTCGTAACTGACTGATTTGTCGTTTATTCAAATTTTCATCTTCTACATAAAAATAATGTTGGCACATCGATAAGTTCAATTTCAACAGAAATCTAATCCAAGACTCAGCAATTCGTATTCCAACTGTCTGTGAGTAACATATAATATCAGCAATTAACTACAAATTTGAGCATACAAATTAAATCAATGATATAGACAAAGAGCACCTTTAATCAGCCCATGCTATGATTTTCTACTATCATTCTGAGTATTTTCTATCCATAATTTTTTGGCTGCCAAGGTGACCCTTCTTTTTATGTCTTTGCTACAAATTTTTACAATTTAAACCATTAAAAACTTACGCATTCATCTTTTATCAATTATCGGATGAGGTTTTTGTGATGTCTGGAATATTCAAAGTAGCGGTAAAGGTTTATCAGCCGAACCGAAGGCCGGGGCTAATAACACTTACCGAGAACTTGATTATTTAGGATATCACAAAAACCGAACCTAGTGATTATTGTATTTTGTTTTGAAGAAAATAACGACAAACACACCTCCTCCTTGTAGTTAATCTCTTCTCAGAATCAAAAGCTCCGTAATGTTAAGGGAAAAATCCGAAAAGGAAGAGGTCGTCTCAGTGAAAGTCGAGATAGGTCTAAAATTCTGGTCACTTTTCCACAGGACAGAATGCAGGTCACAGGTCACAGGTAATTGAAATGGCTCAATCACATGAAGACCCCCTTGATGGCAATTGAATAGTTTTTCCACACTTAAACTATTATAAATCCAATTCAATAATGATCTCAAAGTCCTGAGCCTTTGATTGTACCTCCCTTCTTCCTTAAGCCCTTCATGACATACATGTACAGAAAGGCATAAAATTGTGTTTTCTTACCTCAATAATAGTCTTATTGCTCAAGTTATAAAGATTAATTTTAAAAAAAGGCTTTAGAAAATATGTGTTACTGCAATAAGTACTAAGTGGTTTTTTGTTTATTCATAAGTTGGAGAGATAAATGAGGAGGCAAATACTCTCTACGGAGCAGAACTTGGTACGTTTCACTTCAACTGTATAGTATTATTACTTTTTGCTAATTCTGTTTAAACCTTTGACCTTCACACCGATTATTGGTTTTCCGCAATGGTTCTCTCACAACCCAGCCCATTTTGTGTAGTTATTTTAGCCTGGATCACCATTCCTGAGAAATGAACTGTACGCTTTACCCACCTTCGACTCGCCATTATTATTACTGACTGACCTTGCCGTTAGGGATAATTTAATTACAGATATTTTCTGAGTCATTAAATTTTTCATTTTGTTATTAAAAGCAAAATGAAATACCATATCATTAATACATGCACAATTACGTGCAGCTTCTATTTATAAATCAGCCGGTATATAATAAAACGAACGCATACAGTCTTGCACAATCATATACATTTTTGATGATATGCATATTATTATCAAAAACATACACAAGGATTATTAAATTATTATTGTCCATATTATTGGTTCAGTGGCAGTTGCACCTTACATCACTACAATATACGTGAAGAATTCTCTACATAAACTCCCATGTGCTCCTAAGTCAATTGATTGCACTCACAGCCATGCTATACAACTGATCATGTTAACAATAACTTTGTATTAATAGTAACACTACTTTTCCAATTATAATTATTACCCAATCATGTAAGCTTGTGCTATTTGAAATTATACACAGATGCATGCTCATATGGTTCCTCATTTGACTTGAGGTTA